CATCATTTTTCTATGTTCCTTCTTCCATTTGGATGATTTCTCCTATTTATGGAATTCTTTACACCAGTAGCCGCATGCCTCTTTCCTATCATATTCCATCTGGATACTTAGGCCACACTGCAAACCCTCACTCCTATTTGTAGTCCAAAGCCTGTTTTTTTATGTCATTTCCCCATCAAAAGCAGTGAGGGATACTCACACAGTATTTAGCTTTTCCAGTAAGCATATTGAAATCAGTGGAGGATCTCCCAGTCTTGGATTATTGAATACACAGTCTAACTCCTGGACCTATCCACAGGAACCCACTCATAAGTTCTGTCACTTCACCTGATTCTGGGTCCATGGTTGTACAGTACTTAGCCAAATGGATAGGACTCCAAATAGGTTTCCTGATTAATAATTTTAATATTAATAATTAAGGATCACTCTACTACTGCTAAGTGACTTATAACAAGTCATTAATGCAATTCAATGAGTTGAGGAGATTAGTGGGAGGGGTGCTGGGGTTCTCGAGAGCAGGGCAACTCAGTGCCCAAGATGAGTGGTTGTTCCTTAAGGAGATGATACTCAGGGCCCAAGGGGTGACCATCCCAACAAGAAACAAGGGGGGCAGGAGTGCCCGAAAGCGCCCCTGGCTCACCAAAGGTGTCCAGGTATGCCTGATTGCCAAAAAGCGGCGTAAAACTGGTGGAAAGGGGGTGCTATCTCCAAAGAGGAGTATACCTCCTCTGCTCGGGCCTGTAGGGAGGCTGTCGGGAAAGCTAAGGCAGACATAGAGCTAGGACAAGCGTCCAAAATCAAAGATAACAAAAAGTCCTTTTTCAAATATATAGGGAGGATGAAGAAAGCACCAGGAAATGTGGGGCCCCTGCAAGATTCTTTGGGCAATCTGGTGGTTGCGTTAGAGGAGAAAGCAGACCTCTTTAACCAATTCTTCACCTCCATTTTCTTGTGCAGGGACCAGGACTTCGCCACCGTGATGCAAGATGGACTTGAGGGGAACGCCTCCAGACCTCAGGTTGGGGAGGACTGAGTTAGAGAGCTTCTGGAGGGGCTGGACGTGTTCAAATCAGCAGGTCCAGATGCTCTCC